TTGTTACTACTAGTAAGGCACTTGTTACTAGTAGCGATGCACTTGTTCCTAGTAGCGTCCTTGCGCCCGAATCTTTTCAGCAAACCTTGGACTGTGACGCCCAGTCCAACTTATGCCGCCATCACTGCCCTTGATTAAGCAGGAGATCCCCAGCTCACGATGCCGGCTGCATCAGTATGAGCAAGGCGACCTTTTTACAAGAACATGAATATGTCGTGACGATCGTCTGTCCCCCCCCACATCTTGAATGTTCTTGAGTTGAAATTTTCCGGCATGTTCTTGGGCCCAGTGGTCTCAACAGAGCTACAAGGAGTGGAACTGTCACACACTTCGGAAACGCACTTCAGCTGTAAAAACAAAACGGCCTGCAATTTTACCTTCAGGTGACAGGTGCGTGCCAGGCAGGCTCAACCTCCAAGACCATACCCGGTGACGGTGCGCAGCTCTCGTCATTTGCGACCGAAGTGGAAAATCTGGGTTTCAGCCTGTGGCCCATTCAGCTCCAAGGATTAGGCCGTGGGCACCTCCACCCCCACTATACCGCATACCCGTTCATGTCATGTCCATGTTTTTGCATGCTTTCTTCCACCGCTTGCCCTCCAGAGGCACCTCATGATGCAAGAGCAATTGCGTTCCCAAACGAAAAGGCTCCATTTTTTGCAGATCTTGACAGCGTCGCCAAAAATGTGGACAGACTAAGGGGCGTGTTCTCCTTGCCGTTGCGCGCACGACAGCTATGTAATCCCTCTGCATGATGAAATGCAGACCTGTATAGATATAAGGAAGGTGTTCAAGCATAGGGGTGCATGGCTTCAACCTTGCATTCATCAAAGAGGAAATTGACTTGAGGAAATTGGCCGGCAGCGGTTCCTTCCGTCAAGCTGATCACTTGCTAAATCACATGAGATCCTGTTCCTCCTCTATTTGGCACACCAGGGATTGCAAGCCACGCGCGCCGGGGAAGTCCTGCGCACCGCTGTTGCGACCCGCAGCGCCAGAAGTTGGCTCTCGCGGGTTTTGACCGGTGGCGGAGTGCGATGTTTTCTATTTAAAGTCGAATTAAACTTCATTCTATGTTAATCTATTTCTTGTTTCTAATGGCTTCTTTGTTCCTAGTAGTAAGGCCAGGAGCCCCTAATAGCTTCTTGCTCTTAGCAGCGATGCCAGGAGCCCCTAGTAGCGTCCTTGCTCCTAGCAGCACTTAGATGTTACAGATCGGCTTTCCTCTCGCCATTACGGCTCAGACGGTGCTTTGCTTTCCCTATCTCCTTTTCCAGGTGACGATTGTCGAAACCGGGCGTTGTCGAAACCGGGCGTTCTCGTGTTGTTTGGGAATGACGGTTTTCGTTTGTTGGTTGGTGTTGGTTTTTCAGTGCGTTTCACACTCTAAGGTTCTCAATTTTGAACCTCTCGAACCTCTCGCGAAACTTTCGTTTCACGCAATCTTTGTGTTTGAGAGGATGGCGAGTCTTGATAGTGCCAGTGTGTTGGCGCAATTGCCATCTTGGATGGAGGACTATGTCGAGTTCTTCCTTTTTTGACACATTTGTTTGCAATTGTTGACCCTTGTCGTTTACACAGCTGGTCACAATATGTTTGCCCTTTGCTTTGTTTCGTTCTGAAGGACATGTCGACAATCATCAACTTGCAAATGGAGGTTCTGGCACGCATGAGTCGCTGCAATTCGCCGGAAGGACAGATTGATAGGACTTGATAGGGAAATTTCTCGACGGATGTCACAAGTGTAGATCAAAAAGTTCTGTAAATACATGTAGTAATACATGTAGTACATGTAAATACTGCATGTAGATGCTTTCTATGTGTTTCTGCATTTTCAGGAGAGCACCGAGATGAGATCTTTCGCTTTGGTCCTCGTGGCCGTGCGGATCGGCCGAGCTTTCAACAGCCTCCGAGGCCACGCGACGGAGAACGGCGGAGGGACGGAGAGCGAAGCGACGGCGCTTCCGCCTCTTTGGCCTCCATCTCGGAGGCGGACGAGGCGGCGGAAGCGGAGACGGACGGAAGTCTCAAGGCACCGATGGCACCAGCGAAGTCTCGAGAGAGAGAGGGCTCCTCTCTCCGAAGAAATGAAAAGGAGAGAGACGGAGGGCGTCAGCGGCTTCCACCACATGCCGACTCAGCACCAGTCGAATGGAATCTCCTTCCCGTGTCTGAGCAGTCTGAGGGTGATGGAATCTCCTATGAGAGAAGAATTTGTGAGTCAGTGGTGATCGAAAAAGAAGGATTTTGTCCAAGTGGTCTTATCAATCCTCATTGGATTGGGAAGTTGGTTTGGGATTTTGGAGTGATGTTTTGTGTTCTCATGGATGCGATGGTTTTGCCTTTCCAACTCACCTTCAAAAGCAACCTTGGGGCGGACAGCTTTGACACTGTGTGGCTTTGGACGACGACCTGGATCTTTGGCATCGACATCATTTTTAGCTTCAATTGTGCCATTGAGAGTGAGGATGGAGTCCATGGAGCCAAAAGCAAACTGATTCTGGACCGGGTGAAGATTGCGAAGAGCTATCTGCGCGGATGGTTTGCCATCGACTTTGGCTCAACCGTCCCCTGGGCACAGCTCAGTGAGGCGTGGCTATCTGGCGGTTCTTCGTCGCAGCTCACGCGGCTCACCAAGGTGGTGAAGTTCGTTCGGCTGCTGCGCTTAGTTCGGATGCTTCGCCTGGCCAAGCTGGGACAGATCTGGGAGCGCGTGGAGCATCGCATCGGTTCTCTCTTTCTGCTGCAGTGCATTTCGCTGCTCCGCGTTTTGTCCGTTGTGGTGGCGATGTGCCACTGGAGCGCATGTCTCTTTTGGCTCATCGGACTCCCTCGAAACATCTTTACGGACGTCTTCTTCTCCGAAGATGAGCAGCAGGCGGGCAAGTCGAACATTGTTCGGCGCGACATGCGTCAGATGATCCGGATCATCCGACATGATTTTTTCTATTTTTGTTCTGAATCTGATGCTTCATACGCAGTGTGGAATACGAGGCGTATGAAGCGGCACCTCACTGGACGACCATTTGGAGGCATCATGATGCGGTGGAGACTTCATGGCGCTGGTTGGATCGAAGCCTCTCGGATCTTAAGAACTCGGAAGTGCGGGAGCAAGGACGCCACTAGGGGCTCCTGGCATCGCTACTAGGAACAAGGGCCTTACTACTAGTAACACGAAGCTAGTAGAAACAAGAATTAAACGTTTTTGAATTAATTTACTTTAAATTAGAATTAATGTCAACCCCGGATTAATCTGCCCCCCCCCACATAGAAGGTCAACAAGGTCAAGAAGGTCTGAGATACAACTCATGAGGTCCACTCCCCCTGAATAATGTGCTATGAAACCTTTGGACCATGAAGGTTTGAGAGGGGATGAGCTGATGAGCATGAGGCTAGAGTCCATATAGGAAGCAATGAGGAACCAAGGGATGAGAGGAATTGGCTGGTAACATTTGGACTCAGAATGGGCATGAGCTGGTCTCATAAGCCACCATGGTTTCTGCTCCACAATGCTTTTTGGGCATTGGCTGATGAGGATGAGGCACCTTGGCTTGAAGTGGGAAGGGGTGGAAAGGGATGGGATGGGGTGAAAGGGATGGGAGTGGATGAAAGGGATGGAGTTGGATAGGTTTGAGAGGACCAGGGGGTAGGTATGAGAAGTACCATGGGGGTGGGTATGAGAAGAACCATGTATTTAGCATAGAGATTGGCTCATCAGCGCATCAGCTTGATCAGATCAGCTCATCAGCCCATCAGCCCATAAGCAATGATTGGTGCCATGATGGGGGCATTGGTCATGGGCATGAGCATGGGAGGCATGGCCCTCTACATGAGACAGGTGAAGAATGAGATGGGCAAGAGGATGTATCAGGCAATGGGTGAGCTGCATCAGTCATTGTCCAGCATTGAGGTCAGGCTGGATTTCAATGGCTGCTTGTGGCGAGATAAGGTCAGGCATCTGAAGATGAGGCTGACCTCATTGAGGGGGTGGGTGGTGAATGATTGGAATGAGGAGAAGGCTCCTTGCACGGAGATGAGGGTGCCTCTGATGAGGTCATGGCTGCTCTATGAGCATGACACCATGAAGTGCATGGCCCCTGATGAGAAGGAGTCCAACATGGCTTGGATGAGCTTGTGCACATTGTGCTACATAGCACATTCAAAGATCTGCTGAGGATGCAGATGGGATTGGATCAGGTGACTGAGAGTCCTTTTGGCAGTGATTGGATTTAAGTTTTGGTTGCTTTGGTAGGGGTATGGTGGGTTATGTTTTTTTGTGGAGGAGGGAGGGCAGATTCCCTGTGCATGAGGTGGGATCTATGAGCACTACAATGATGCTGGCAAGAAGTCACATGAGCTGATCCATGAGGTGGTTGAGAACATCAAAGCAGCCATGAGGTCCCAGATGTTCCAGATCCATGAGCCTGCAGATGCCACATATGAGGAGATGATCAGGGGAGAGTTGATAGGTTTTTTATTTGAAGATATGGTTGTTTAGTTTGCTTTTTTGCTTGCACCACTGAGGATTCACGCATTGGCTGCTGCATGAGCTCTGTGAGATCTATGAGCTGGAGACCAATGAGCACTTCAAGCCAGCCATGAGCAGCCTGATGAGCCAATGGCCACAAAGGGATGTCATGAGCTCCATCCTCCAGCATGGCAAGTCCATCAGGCCATGAGGCCATAGAAGCGTGAGCCAAGAATGGCCATGAGCTCAAAATGAGCATGAGGTAATTTTCCACCAGCTTGGTAAGGAGCAGGTGGCAGCCCCTAGCAAAAGAGTTTGTGGTGATTGGGAGGGGGTTGATAGGAATGATGAGGTCCATGCTTGGGAGGAGCCATTGGGGTTGAAAAAACGGGCTGATGGGATTTGATAGGAACCATTGGGGTTGATAGGAACCATGGGGGTTGAAGAGCAGAGTTGATGAGATGATGCAATGCGATTCTGATAGGAACCATGGGGTTGATAGGAACCATAAAGGTCCAAGAGCAGGGTCCAGGGTTGATGGGATGAGATAGGAACCATGGTGTTGATGGGAACCATGAGGGTTAAAGAGCAGGGTTCAGAGTATGGGATGAAGTTTTGATAGGATCCATGGGGGGGTTGATGGGAGTAGATCCACTGATAGTTAGTTGGTGGGAGCCATGAGTCATGAGTTTCATCCATTGTCCACTGAGGTATTCCTTGATGAGATCTTTGATGCAGGTGCTCCAATGAGGAGGTTCTGGTGGTGGTGGGAAGTGGGATTTGGGAGCTGGGTGGAGGGCTATGAGGGTTGAGAACCATGAGATTTAGTTGCGGTTTTTTGTTGTTCATGCCATGGGCTCATGTGACCTGAGCACCAGGATTGGTGAATATGGGGTTGCAATAGATCAGGCCCAAGCATAAGCAGATCAGAAGCAGGACCATAATAAGCATGTAAGCTCATAACCTCACTTTGCAATGATGGCGTTGCTGATGATGGGTGGCATTGGCATGGGCATGGGCATAGGATACTATGTGATGAGCAAGCTGAATGAGAGAGAAGCTTGATGGGCTGCATGAGGAGATGCAATCCATCTCCATGAGGGCATCAGGGATCTCTCAAAGCCTTGCCACAATTGAGCGCAGATTGGATGAGGCAGGTGGGCTGGTGAGAGACAGGATGAGGCATTTGCAGCAAAGGCTATGGTGCCTGAGGGGATGGGTGCTCATGAGATGGTCAGGCATCCATGCCCAACAAGCATGAGGGTGAGCAAGATGAGAAATTGGCTACTCATTGAGTATGATGCCATGAGGGTTGGGTGCCATCCGGACCATGAGACCATGTGGGCTGGCATTTGCACATTGGCCCACATCAGCGCATTCAAGATGATGGTGAGCTTCATGTTGTGCAGTGATGAGGAGGTTCAAAGCCATGGGATCTATTCCACCATGAATGATGAGGGCAAGAGCAGGGATAAGATCCTGAATGAGATCAAGGCCAACATTGATGCTGCCATGGAATGTGGCCTCATGGTCATGGTTGAGCCTGGGATGGGTCAGTGGGACGAGCTCATGAGACAACCCCATGAGATTCCAAATGAGACTGATGGAGTTGATGGAGGAGATCCATGAGATGAGGTGTGATGAGAGATGGCCAGGAACCCACAACCTTGTGCTTGCTGGGCTGAATCATGGGATGCCATGAGATCAATCCTGCAGAGTGTCCACATGGGCTGATGAGCCTGCAGCCTGATGAGCTGATGAGCTGGTTCAGACTTTTTGGAAAATCAGTGCTGTGAGATTGGGGTTTGGACCGCGAGGGTTGGTGACATGAGTGTTGGTATGCCTGGTGCCCATGAGGGCTTGATAGGAACCATTGCAAAGGGGTTGATAACACGATATATTCCCTTCTCATGAGCTCAGGCCACTGATCCATCCCAATTAGGGCTCATACCATGAGGGTTGGTGACATGAGGTCATTGCTTAACTTCTCCCATTCACACCTGTCCATGCACCAGGAGTTGATGAGTGGCACTGGAGATCAGTTCTTTGACTTTGATGCCCTGGATGAGCTCTATGAGGCTATGGATGAGCGCCATGAGTCTGCATCTTGGCATGAATGGGTGGGTATGGAAAAGGTTGGGTGGCATGAGGAAACCAATGGTCATGAGTCATGAGCTGATACCATCAGCGTGTTTGACATGAGGGTTGATGACATGAGATTTCAGTTTCATGGTGGGATGAGTCCTGCGGAGCTCTATGAGACTTTGGCTGGTGCTACCTTTGAAGAAGAGCACCATGAGGCTGCACCTTGGCATGGTTGGGTGGGCGTGGAAAAGATGGGGTGGCGTGAGAACACCAATAGTCATGAGCCATGAGATAGTACCATGAGGGTTTTTGGCATGAGGGTTGGTGATTTACTGCAATAAGCATGAGTCACCTGTCCATGCATCAGGAGTTGATGAGTGGTGGAGATCAGTTCTTTGACTTTGATGCCCTGGATGAGCTCTATCAGGCTTTGGGTGAGCACCATGAGATTGCATCTTGGCATGAATGGGTGGGTGTGGCAAAGATTGGGTGGCATGAGGAAACCAATGGTCATGAGTCATGAGCTGATACCATCAGCGTGTTTGACATGAGGGTTGGTGACATGAGATTTCAATTTCATGGTGGGATGAACCTTGAGGATGCAATGGGTGAGCTCTATGAGTCTATGGCTGGTGCTGCCTTTGATGAAGAGCGCCATGAGGCTGCATCTTGGCATGGTTGGATGGCTATGGAAGAATGACACACGCCTGCCAACGTTTTTGCAACGTCCACAAAACACTGCGCCTGCCACGAAATTTGCAAAGTCTCCGATTCCTTGCGCCTGCCACGTAAAATGACCTTTTCGAGGCTCCAATGTGTCGAATTCCTTGCGCCTGCCACGCAAAATGCACTTCATGTCCGAAAACGAGCACGGCACCTGCACGAGAGCTTTGTCCCGGAAGCGCGAAAACCGCGACACCCACTTTATGCGAGCCTGCGCAGTCGAAGTGGACATGAGGAATTCAAAAAGTAACTTTTGTGCGAGCCGGCCCACGCAAAATGCCGCAACCACACGCGCGAACCCTGATCTAAACCCGGCCCTTAACTCTTACCGTAAGAACCCCTTAGTGCGGAGCACTATTTGGGGAAAAATAGCAGTTAATTGGTTCAAGGACTGCCGCCTTCTGTACTGGCAAAAGTTCCAGCCAAGAAACATGTGCCTTTACCGTTGTTAGGCGCTGGTTATTCGATGACCTATTGGTTTGCTCAAAGTCCTGTACACTGTGCAGATTATTGTTGCCTAGCACTCTTCATTCTTCATGTTTCTTTTAACAGGCTTTTTCCCTTCATAACCTTGATAAACTTCCTCGAGTATTGTTTGGTTCCTCTTGTGGCTTTTCATTATTCTCATACTAAGCTGATTTGTTTCAGGCTCTAGCTGCTTGTGTTGTTGGCACCAAACACTATCCCGTAAAGACATGTGTTTCAAAGCTTATTGCGCAGCAATCTTGACGGTGTGTGCTTCTCGGCATGTTTCACTCGCTTGTTTCTACTAGCTTGTTCCTAGTAAGGCCCTTGCTCCCCCCGTTCGTAGCTTTCTCATGCTCCATCCTTGTTTCTAGTTTGTCTAAGCACTTCACATCTTCGTCCACAAACTGTTCCTCTCAGGCTTCTTTTTAGAGCCTCGTTGCCTGTTTCTTGCTTTGCTCCTGGATTTTGAGAAGCAAACATGGACATGGGTAGAGCTAGACCTACAAAAGGTTGATTGGCTATCATTTCAGTATGCCTCATACGATATTGCTCTTTAATTTTGGCTACCTTTGTGCTTCAGATTCTTGGATTGTTTGTTGATTGTGAAACCTTTGCAGTCCGAAGTTGTGATCCAACTTTTGTAAGATTAGGGCATTCCTGAATGGACAGTCATTTACATGCATTTATACGGTCAAAGTCTCAAGCCTGAGCCAGCATGGTAAAGAAGGAGGTGAGCCTTGCAGGATAGAGGTGGGTCTGGAGAAGGTGGAAGACATTTTCATAAAATCAGAATCTTATCAATGGAAGGAGAACGGCATTGTGTGATAGAGGAGGGCTTGTAGGTAGGGAACGTTGCAGCAAGGATTGCGTATTTACATAAATGTGAGGGCAGTTAAACACGATACCTTTGAAAGAAAGATGCCCTATCAAGCTTAGAAAGAACGGGATTATTATGAAGGAAAAGAAGGAAGCAAGGAGGGAGGGAGGTAGGTAAGGAGGTAGGTAGGTAGGTAGGGAAGGAAGGAAGGAAGGAAGAAAGGAAGGAAGGACGCATTTTCTTCTAAAGACAAGTCTTCAAATTATTTTCATTTTTGAAGGCTGGATTTGTATTATTTATATATATTTGAGTTTAAGGAGCATGTATGTAAGACTTAACACATGTCAAATCATCAAGCGCAACGTGAAAAGTGCTAGCACATTGCACTTTCACAGCCTTCCGAAAAACACACGTGCAACCATTATAAACAAGATGCATGCTGCTACTCTAAGCGCAAAGCAAATATCATGTCAGCAAGTCTCATGTAGATGATGTGGTTAGATTGTAGGTTTTTCCAATTAACGATATTAGTTTTTGCATCATCTTTTTAGTGTCTATGTTTGTTTTTTCGTCTAGGCACGTCGGAGACCTATGTCTTTTGCTTCTACTGGACTCTTGGGGTCATGAGAACGATGCCAGCCGAAGTCACGCCAGTGAACCTGCCCGAGAGGGTCTTTGTTTTGATTTTCATGTTTTTCGCCTTGTCCGCCTTTGCCATTTCCATCGCGCTGATTACGCAATCCTTCTTCAAGCTTTCGGAACGCAAGAAGGCCTTCAATGAGGAATATGCGGCAGTGCGTTTACATCTTCAGAGAACCAAAGTGAGCGAAGATATCCAGTTTCGTGTGAAGTCCTATCTGAAATATCTCTTCGACCAGCGGAAGACTCATGCTAAAGAGGCGACATTGCTGAACTCTTTGCCAGATGAGCTCAAAGATCAGGTTTTCCGATGTCAAGCCTTGCACCATATGATGCGACTGCCCAACATGCAACACTTCAGGCCGTAATTGCACTGTGTTCTGCCGTTTGAAGAAAGTGCTGTAATTGGCCTATTTGCTGCCTTTTAATTGCTTTTAATAGCTTTTTAAACGCCTTTTTTTTAAAATTTTAATAGCTTTTTCAATTGCCAATTAAAAGATTTTAATTCTTTAATGGCCTAATTTTCGCTTTTTTCTTTTTCGCCCGTTTCGCGTGTCCCGAAGGCGGTCTCATCGCCTACGCTTGGCGGCGGCGGCCGCGACGTGCGATTTCATGCCCGGGCAAGCCTTGGTGAAGCGCAACGATCCCATCGCCGCTCGGGAGTTTCACCAAAAACTCCTTTCTAAGTATGCTTAGTATATTCTTGATGCTTAGTATATTTTTATATGCTTAGTTTTTAACTTAAGTTTTTACTTAGACTTGGTGACTTTGTTGCCATGTCACATCATGTCACACAGAAATGCTTGGTTTTAAAAGCATACTTGTGCACATGTGACAAAGAAAGCGCTGTACAGGAGTAGAAGGAGAAGGCCAAAAAATAGATCCGTTTGCAAACATTTTTCGGTCTCCATGTGCTGTATATAGCCTATATACACCTAATTCTACTTGTGGACATGTTGGACTGAAGCCTGGAGAGCAAACGCAGGCATCCACTTGACGGCGTTTGCCAAGACAAGCAACCTGCCAAAAGCGGAAGAGCATGTAGCAAGGTGCCTTACTAGTAAAAAGCCACTAGTAGTGCACCTTGCTACTAGTAGTTTCTTGTTACTAGTAGCGATGCCAGGAGCCCCTAGTAGCGTCCTATCGCTACGTTCGTAATGCCCTTGTTACAACAGAAAAGTAGCACCGTCGCGACGAAGCCTTGGGATGCCTCGATGTGCGTTCGACTGACTCGATCGACGTTCGACGGACACGGCAGTTGCCGTGCGCTTTGCGCAGCCCCAACACCGTTCAACGAGATCAAAAGGGAAAGGGAAAGCGCTTCACTGCCACCCCCAGCAACGCCATACATGTCACCCAGCACTCACACAATCTTGCAGAAAAATAATTCTCATAAACGCAGTGACTGGGCCACAACTATATAAGCGTTAAAATGACACCTGATGCTAGACAAGGTCATAACAGTATGCCAAACAAACATGCGAATGTCAGCTTGTGACTTCCAGGGAATCTAAAGCAAAAGATTAAGCTTAACATTAATTGGAGGCCAGGTAGGTCATTCTTACAATATCTTAAACGACGCATAGAAACAGAGTCGCTGAGCCAACGAGCAACCGACTACTTCCGCCATGAAACCTCACAACGAGCACAGGAAAAGCGCACGACTTTTCTAAAAACATCGACACCAATCAAAGCAAACATCTCACTCGAGACCATCAATGGAGCGATGAAAGTCTCAATTGCAAAAAGAGAAATGACTGGAATGACATTCGTAAACTGTTCTCCTTGCTTCTCATTGTTCTCCTTGCAAGAACTATTATCTTTTTGCCTTATTTTTCTTCTCGCTCATCGTATTTTCGGTCGCAAGGGCTAGGCGAAACTTCACCGAGAGAGAGAGAGAGAGAAAAATGAGGTGAAAGGAACCGGCAGAAACCGCGTGGAAACCGCAGAAACTATACGTCTTCGGCCTTTGGAGGGTGTAGCTCTGTGAGAGGACGAGTCCGGACCTAGTGCACGATTTCTTTCAGCTAGGAACAAGTGCATCGCTTCTAGTAACAAGTGCCTTACTATTAGAAACAATAGTTAGATAGAAATAAGCTACTAGGAACAAGTGCATCTATGTTCGTTTTGGTCTCCGTGCTTCTCCCACATTTCTTTCAGCTCGTTCGTGACGGGCATTTTGCCAAAAGTGCTCTTGTCGAGCTGTGGTGTGCGCGTGCACGGACCTACATGCCCGTTCCAAAGTCTTGCGTCCAAAGATGCACATGACGCCAAAGTGCAAGGGCCCTTTGCCTGTTTGCAGATTTGGTTGATGATTTCCTCATTTTTTGGGGCGGTTTTGTAACGAGTTTGTTTTATATCTGATATGATATGACTGTTTTGTGTCTGACTTGTGAGGAAGCCTCTTGGATTTTGATCTCGGGACAGCTCCACAAGGATGGATGGAATGTCGACGAATACCCCACGGTGGTCCATGCCGAGTGTTTGGAGCCGCACGGGCACGAGCCGCTCCTGTCGGACTGTCAAGTGGTGGCCACCGAGGTCTCGGAGGTCCTTCGTGTGGACAAGGCGGGATGAGAGGACATTTGCAAGTCCTAAGATTCTGAAATAGCTATTTTAACAAAGAATAATGCGTTTGAACAGCTTTATGTTTTGAAATAGCTTTTTTAATACTTATCTTTGACATTAGGAGAGCGATGTGAATGCATTTTTTCACGCTCAAGCCTTTTCATGCCACGTCTTTTTCGGTGTGGTGCGTGTGGACTTGAAAAGAGGTGTTGAGTCTAATTGGTGGAAAATTGGGCTTCCCTCTTTGATCGTCCGCCCCCACAATTTATTTGGCTTTTCTCCGGGCGGATTTGGGCTCTTCCGGATCGCGCTGATACCTCGCCTTCAGGTTTGGCGTTCGCTCTTGCTCCCTGTCTCTTCCCTAGGACCCTCTTGCCCTAGGTCGTATCCGGGCCTCTTTGCATGAGTGAGCAAGCTGTTGAGCTACTGAGGTTGTGCAGGTTCAACAGCTATTGATAAGGGTGGACATCCTTGAGCGGAGGCTCTCAGAGGTTGCATCACGGCCCTCAAGAGGAATTCGAGCTTGTCTCAGCCTCCCACCCAGGGCCCCCAGTCCTGCAAGGACCTCATCAAGTGCCTCATCTGCGTTCAGCTATCCCTACTCTCTCTTCTGAGGCTCTTCGCCTTTGTGCAAATCTTCGTGGATGCAAGCGGCAAGCTATCCTGGGCTCGCTTCGTGTTGGAGGGCCGCGTCAGCAAGCCCCGACCTTCAAGTCCCTGCGACCTTGCAAACACAACCTACATTGTGGTCAGGGAGGAGGGCATCACCGAGCCGGTGCGGGTTGAGAAGGCATCGGACTACAGAGCTTTGCTCGGTGACTTCACGGGGTCGAGCAGCATCTCTCACGGACTCGCCCCAAAGGCTAAGGCCAAGGTATACTGCTTGGGGCCCAACATCCCGTTCCCAGAGCGCCTGTACCAATGGAGTTAGATGCTATAGTGCCTGCGGTGGAGGACAACGTAGAGCTCTTCAGGATCTATTGGCCCCCAGATCCGGTGCAAGGCCGTGCTGGTATGTTTGGTGGTGGTGGTGGTACGGCGGGCTGCCGGACGAGGAGTGTTGGTAGCAATGCCTGCCGCCCTGGTTTCTGCAGGAAGCCTTCCCTTGGATCCCTCTGAGATGGAGGTGGTTGGACCTCATGTTCAGTTCGAGGTGCCTGCAGTCCGTCTGTCCGAATTTGGCATGGACAGCCTTGGGATCGACATCAGTGTTCATATGGACCTTGGAGTGGACGCCCTTCGTGCTATGACACCTTTGTCTCTTTTGCCCGAATCTGGAGACCCGGGGCCTCATTGGTTTTGGAGAGGATTTGGACGTTGTCCCGCCAAGAGATTGGCTAGCTGCTCAGGTTTATCAGAGAATGGCCTTCTATTCTGCAGAAGAGGGGAAGAGCATGGGGAGCGTCAAGCAGCTCCTCTCCCCCCAAGGGAGCCGTATCGGAGGTGTCACTCCAGATCATTCGCCAGTCAGGCAGAAGGCAAAGGAGTCTGCAAAGAAGCGTGTGACCACGGCTGCTCTTTCGGAACAGCTGACAGGCCTGATGGAGCTTCTCTCCACTATGACAGAGCAGATCTCAGAGTTGCAACGAGGTCATGAAGCCCTGCAAGACTCCATTTGAGCAGAAGCGGCTGGCGGCGCCATGTCAAGCAAGCCAACTGCCCATCTCTGCTCCTGCTAGCGGGGTGGCGGGATTTGATGGTAATCAGACTCGCTGGCCTGGGTAACTGGAATTGCGAGGCCTTCCTGTTTGACTTGCTCTACAGCCTTGTGCAAGCCCAAGTTCATCAAGTCTGACGTCAAGCCTCCTGTCTCGCAGTCCCCAGTTGTCAGTGACACTGATCATGATCAGTCATTCAGACTATGCAGCGTATGGGATGTGAACCGCCTTTTCTGCTTGTAGGCCCTGTCTGACGTAATGAATGACTGACGGGATCCCCATCACCAGTTCTCAGTTCTATGAGAGTGCGGCAGTCAATGCAGTATATCTTACATGGAAGGTGGCCCCAATGTCTACAGGCAGTATAATGACTATTCTGCACTCTCTGCAGAGGACATTGCCTTTGCTAAGAGTGAGGCCTATGCTGGTGATAGCAGGTCGAAGACTTCATTCATTGTTGTGCGCAGAAGGAGCTTTCACAAGAGAGGGCGTCTTTGTGTCAGATGATATGGAGGTCTCTGATTCTCTGCCCTACAAGCTGATCGGTTCTGAAACCATTTTACCCAAACAAATCGCCGTTTATGGCACTGTGGCGCAGGGAGTCCATGTGGAGAAGCTTTTTGATTTGGTGACGCTGCCGGTCAGTGTGGCATTTCCTTCATATACTTCCGACGCCTTCCAATCTCTTCTGCTGGACTTATGGTTTTCAGTCGTGATCTACCGAAGGCCTATGGTGGCCCACTCCGGTATGCTGAGCCGAGCAACCTGAATCCAGAGTCTCCGATGGCTTGGTCGATGAGCAGAGGAGTTGCTGGAGAAATGCTGGTATTGCTGTGCTCTGGACCCTTGGCTGCTTCCAACACGGCTGTTCCCTTCCCTGAACGAGCTTATGCATCAGGCCCCTCTATTTTGAAAAAGGCCTGGTTGTTGCTGGAATTGGGGAACAACTTTCACGCTTCGGAGAGCTGATCAGAAGAAGGCCAAGAACCTTAAGATGATTTTGAGCTTGAGCCCTACTGTTGGAGCTGGAGAGGGTCCTCTCTAGAGGAGGGAGCTGCATTAAGGGCTTATGAAGCTGAAGCCCTCAGAAGAAGAGGTCTGCGTTTTGTTGACCTCATTGGCCCCAATGTCGCATACTGTGTGTTTGGGGCTTGGTGTTTATTGCGTCAGTAATCGGTGTTCTTCCAGACAGTCAACTTGTACGGTGTTTTGTCTACCAGCAATCGGTGTTTTTTGCGTCGGTGCCCCAGCCACGGTGTTTTTTGCGACAGTTGGTCGGTGTTTTTTGCGCCGGTACCCCTTTAGCTTGTCATCGTGGAATCTTGTAGCCGAGGCTGCCTTCTGATCACTTTTTTCGAACGCCAGCGGCCAGCAGCTCAAATAACGTGCCTGGCTGTTTCTGGAGTTTGGTCGCGGAGCTTTGGTCGCGGCCAAGGCTGCGCTGCCATCCTCCTCGAGTTTGGTCGCGGAGCTTGGTCGCGGAGCTTGGTCGCGGAGCTTGGCGCCCAGCGGCTTCTCACTCAGCGGTGGGGCTTTGCTCGTTCTTGTTGCCAAGGCTGCGCTGCCGTCATCTTCGCGTTGGGTCGCGGAGCTTTGGTCGCGGAGCTTGGCGCCCAGAGGCTTCTCACTCAGCGGTGGGGCTTTGCCAATTCTTGTTGCCAAGGCTGCGCTGCCGTCATTTTCTTCGAGTGCCAGCGGCTCAGCCGGTGCGAGTCAAGCGTTGTCGTTTTTCCGCTTCCCCCGGTTGCCCTCTGCATGTCCGTTGGTGCCTCCCTTGCTGCAAGTTCTGGTTCTAGAGTTTGTTCTGTTCCGGGGCTGCAGATTCCAAGGCCGCACTCTCAGAAGTTTCTTGCAGTTGCTCTTGCTTCTCCCTGACTTCCGTTTTCCGTGCCGGTGCTTTCCACCAGGCTCCCCTGATGGCGCTGCGTTGGGCGGACGATCCTGACTGCGATTTGGAGGCCCGTTGCGCTGCAAACTTCTGCTGCGATGACTGCGCGCGGCGCTGCCAGGCGTTCGACGTGGACAGGTTTCTCCGCAAGTTTTGGGGCTGCAGCCTCACCTTGAAAACCCCTGTCCGGGCCTCAGTGCGTGCACGCCTGGACCGCTTTTGCTACAGAATCGTTTGCCAGGTGGGGTGGATCCATGTGCCGTGCAACGATGTTCCACAGGCCCCGTGCAGAGTATGTATGTTGAGCTGTAAGGGCGTAGCAGCGTAACAGCCGTTGCTCGTTGCTGTCTTGCTGTGACAGGAAGCCCTGGAGCCAGTTCGCACGGTCGAAGCCTCACAGTTGCGCGACGTTTCGGGGTGGGACCGGTTCTTCATGGCACGTCCGCGGCAGGCCACCCCGTGCTCCCAGAAAAAGCACAGGTCCGTCAGTGTCAGACGTGGTTTTCACATGCTCGGTTCTTGCTATCCAGTCAGGCGCCGCCGTGCTCGTGGCCCGTGTGCTACCACGACGGAGGCGGTTAGCTGCGCTGTGTGCATCGGATGCTCGTATACTCCACTTTTCTAGGCTCGGCTGGTTTGTTCTTGCAGAGATTCGGCCCTTCCAGGATGATGCTTTTCTGGATTTTGCTTGGAGGCAAGCGCAGGAGGCTGGGTGTGGCTCGCGCCGACTTTTCGGTTGCCAGCGCATGAGACTTTTGACAGGAGTGTCCTTTCGGGCTGTTCTTCGACATAGCGTGGTGCCGGGGCCTTAGTCATTGTACACCTGCGGGGTTGGCTGTCTTTGTTTCTGCTTTGCTTCGTGTGAGGCAACACGCAGCAGTGGGGTCGCCCCACCCGGGCGTGGCGACGTTCTCTGGTGACGACTGCGTCCGGTCCTGATGACTGTGTTTAGTCTTTGGTTTTGTTGCGTTTGCACATCGTGAGGCTGCGCGAGATTTCCGACAACCGCGCCATGGCGCCGGCGCTGGAGCTCGAGGCTGGTCCATGCTTAGCTTGCAGCCGTTGGTACTGCAGGCCTTTTAAAGTTTGCAAAGGCATATCGAACGGTCAAGACTTGCGAGGTTGTGCACAGCGTGTCCGACCTCAGCCCCCACATTCCTTTTGGAACTGCTGCAGCGCAAGTCTTGACCACGTTCCGGTGGACCATTTCACGCAAGTGTCGCAACAAAGCAGCTCACGTTTCCAACGGCAACACCGCAGGCGGGGTTGGAGATCGTGGGGGGTCGGACTTCACGCTCGTCCGTTTCGTCGTGCTCCGTCGCAGGCTTCTCTTTCCGCGGCGTGTTTCCCAACGTCTCGGGCACATCCTGTTGGCTGGCTAGCTTGCTGCAGTCCATGTTTGCACGCTTGCCCATAGTTAATTCCATCTCTCAACACCAGCAGACCAGACAATGTGGAAGCTC